AGCCCTTGCTTACCAGGCACACAGCCTTCATTTCCCCACCACTGAGCCGTCTTGGCCTTCAGGCTTCCTAGAGATAGAAGAGAAGCATTCAAGCACATAGATGCCTTCTTGCCATTTACAAAGTAACCGTGGAACAAATCTTCAGTGAGTGCTTGCTTTGTCTCAGACTCTGCTGGGGCTGAAAACAAAATAGACTCCAGCCTCCAAGAACTCAGTAAGTTGGCAACACCAGCTGGCAAACAGAAATCCCATTATAAACAGGCAAACACAGTTCCCCTCAAGGTAGGGTGACGGTTTCTCCTGCCAACCCCCACTACATGCCCCTTTTCATCTATTTGGAGCCTTGGGCCAGACCTCACCTCCAAAAGAATCTTCTTGGGCCCAAGATTGGGAGGACAAGGAGGGGGCAAGGAGGGAGAGAAGAAAAGTAGGACACCTTGCAAGTCACCTTATTTCTGCTATGGAAGTTCACTCCCCTTGGGGTCCCAGGCTGTCCCAGCCCTAAACCTGTCTGCTGAGGCTTGTTATCCTCAGGGCTGCTCAGCTGAGTCCTCCAGCATTTGTTCGGAAGCCTTCTCCCTGCACTTACCAAGAGTCTGAAAAGAATCCAGGAGGCTGAGGGTTTTAGGAGTGAGGGGTAGGTTGTACCCCCAAGCCAACATGGCCTCTCCATCTGGGGAAGTGACCTGGAGGTCACCCGAGAAGTTGCTCTGGGAGCTTCCAGCTTCTGTGCTGGGTAAATAGTGTATTGTCCACTTATTTTTTGAGTTGCTTCCCTGGTGGCTCAGATGGTAAAGAATCTGCTTGCAGTACCAGAGACCTGGGTTCAATACCTGGGTCAGGAAGATCCCCTGGAGAAGGAAATGGCAACCCAGTCCAGTATTCTTGCATGGAAAATTCCATGGATGGAGGAGCCTGGCAGGCTACAGTTCATGGGGTCACAAAGAATCCAACATGACTGAGCGACTTCACTCTCTCTCTCCCACTTATTTTTTTTTTTGTAATTGTTAAATTGCCCTCCATCTATCCATCTTTGGGCACCTTCCTTCCATAGCAGTCCCAGGTCCAGATGTATATGTTACATCGTCTTGTGTGTGCTCAGAAAAAAAACTCAAAGGTTTTCCGCCAAACCAGAGCTCCATCCACAAACCCCAAGTTCCCTGAAGAGCCAGCAAGAAAAAGGCTTAAAAAAAAAAAAAAAAACTAGGATTTTGAAAAGCTGGAAATAGAAAATAAATATTATCTTTAATCTCACTTCAGAGAACCACTGTGATAATAGACACACAAAAACACCTGTACAAATACTGGATAATCGTAGACTTAACCCTTTTTCAAAATTTGCTTTCCTCCCCCATAATAGTCTTACCCTGTAGCTCAAACAGTAAAGAATCTGCCTGTGATGTAGGAGACCTGGGTTCAATCCCTGGGTCGGGAAGATCCTCTGGAGAAGGGAATGGCAATCCATACCAGTATTCTTGCCTGGAGAATCCATGGACAGAGGAAACTGGTGGGCTAGAGTCCATGGTGTCGCAGAGTCAGACACAACCAAGTGACTAACGCTGGTACCACTAATAATCCTACCATGCACATTTATTTCCCCAGTCAAGAACATGTGTTCTTACAACTAATGTTTAATGGCTCCAGAATATTCCATCGGGTGGATTGACCATCATTTCGTTACAACAGTTCCTTGCTATTGGAGCTTAAAATTGTTTCCACTTTTTTTGGTATAAATTATGCTACAATAAACAGATTGAACATAAATCTCTTTTTTGCATCTCTGGCAAGTCTCTTAGGATAAATCCCTAGAAGTGATTCCCCCCAAAAGGAATCCAAGATTACAAGGCGTTTTATACACACACAGAGTGGCCAGGTTTTAAACCAACATTACAAGGGATTTTATACACATGGAGAGTGACCTGAACAACTTAAAACCCTCCTCCAATGGTCCCATTTACAGTCATCTCTTCCTCTATAAATTCCTATTTCATTGACTCACTTACTTGTTCACCCCACAAATATATATCAAGGAGTTCCAAAGTGAGATGCATTCTTGCTCTAAGATGCACCAAGTCCTTAAACATTCCTTTGTATCTAATGGAAGACGTGTATCTGCCTCCATATTAGGCTCTGGAGGTGTAGCAGAGACAAAACTTTACTCCAGCCTTCTTAGGTCTTCTGCTGTACCTTAGAATTAAATTGACACAAGACAGATTTACATAAGAAACACATACATATTTATTTAATATAAGCTTTAAGTGCCACGAGAGCCTTCATATATATATATAAAAAATGAAGACCCAAAGAAGTGGCAAAGCCTAAATGCTTTTAAACTCGGCTGAAGAGAGGCAGCTGTGGACACAGAACTAAAATATGTGGGGAGGCTAAAGGAAGATGAGTTATTTTAACAAGGCTCTTGGTGCAGAGTTTTCTCAGCCTTGACTCCCCTTCCCTGATGATAAGAACGTTTCTCTTCTCCCTAGTACTGGGAGGGCATCTTTCATAGGGGAGTTATATCTCCTGTTTTCAGGAAGAAAAGGGGGAGATCAGAACATCTTTTTTTTTTTTTTTTAGAACATACTTCTTATATCTGTGGTTTTTCAAGTGCCTTTAGCTCAAAATAACCCTCATGCTAAACTGGCATGTTGTGGGTGGCAGGTTCTTCAACTTTTCCAAGTGCAGATCTTTCTATGACCCATAGTGTCTAGCACAGTGCTAGGCACACAAGTGTTAGCATACAGAGGGTTTGGGTCATCGCTCTCAGAAAGGAACTTTTATATACATTATAAATATACACGTTTTGGGAACACTTCCCTGAGAATTCTGACATGTGTCTTTACTTCTAGCCAATAAGTCACAAACCTGTGTGCTAGTTTGAAAACAGCATTCTGCACTCAATTTTGAGAGGATCAAGGGAGATCTTTGGGTTCAGATTCCCTGTCTGTGTAGAAGTGAATGTGTGGCCGAGGTCCCTCGGGCTGGTTCTGACAATAAAAGGAGACGGTGTATGCAGAAGGATGTCAGAATCTGCTAATGCTCACCAGAGGTAAGACAGTAGAGTGCCAGGCATTTAATAATTAGAATAAAGACCCTTCAGACATGCTTTCACTTCTCCCACGGGCTGTGCCTGTCATCCCGTGGCCTCATTCAGCGCTAGTCCATTCGTTTATAACCCTCAGGGGTCTCCTCCTGCTGGACGTAGATGGGCTGTCAGTCCCCCACTCCCCAAAGTCTGCTCCCATAGTTGGGATGACTGATGAAGGCCCAGGTGGTGGGATTCTGCTGCACGGTAATTTTCTTGGTCCCAGGTTCATAGCATCCTGTGACCCTGCCTGCTCCCCGTCCTCAGTCACTCCGAGGAGAACCCCCGTTCGAGGGGTGCAGGCAGCTGCTCCAGGGGGCATAGCTGCCAGCTCTTCCCTGAAAGATGGGGACACAGGATCAAGTGGAACCCCAGACCCAAGGCCTCGCTCCAAACGCCTTGCTGGATGCAGGTACACCCTCCCCGCCCCCCACCAAGGATGGTTCAGTTTGTTTCTCAAGTCGACGACATGTCTTCAATCTCTCTAATATTACTAGGAAAAACAATTTCAAAATGCCTTAGCTATATAATTCACGAGTCCCCTGGTTTGATTCAGGTGATGAGGTTTAAACTGATTACTGTGCTGTGTAGCTCTGAGTCCTTCACGCCCTGGCTAGCCATTCTTGGCGGATGGTTCCAGACTTCGCTGCAGAAACTAACTGACTACCCCTGAGGTGTTCCCTGCAGCTCCCGCGAACCCCTGTTCACAAAGAACGCTTTAATGTACTGGAGCAGCCCGGGAGGGCACGGTCTGCAGGCGCCTCCCCGGGGCGGCCGGGCCACTGTGCGCACGCGCAGCCTTCTCTAGGCGGGGGGGGGGGGCGGAAATTGCCAGTTCCGCCTCGCCCGCGTCTCCTGCGGCCACCGCCCCCCGGGGCGAGCCGAGGTGGTAATGGAGTCTTTGTCGAGTACAAGTGAAAATGAAGAATTACGGCTTGAGTCCGCACTGTGCACGCACACATGCCCGTCAGAGGAGAGGCAACCAGACCCTGAACTAATGTGTGGCCGCCGGGGACTCGGCCGCGGTTCACAGACGTGATGGGCGCGCGGCGCCAGGGTCCCGGCTCAGTCGGGCGGAGGGCGGGTTGGGGCGGGGTAGAGTGACGCGATCCTCCGCGCCCGCCCGCAGTCTGCACGTGGACGCGGGGCTGCGGGGGGCCGGGACTGCGCTTCGCAGGGCACAGCGATCCACCGTGTGCCTCGGCGCCGTCGGAGGCGCTGGTCACCCGGATCCCGTGGGACGGTGCAGCTGCCCTGGGCTTGAGCGACTTCAGCGCTGGGTTACCAAGACACACCAGCTTCAGGCTGCTGATCTTTCTGGAAAGTTTTCTAACTGTGGAGGAGAAAGGGAGCGTCTTAGTTTTAGAAGCTGGACCTGCCTCGAGGGTGAGGCAAAAAGGTGGAGGGGACTGGAGGTAAGAAAGTTTCAAGAGACTGAGGGGAGATCCGTTTTACCTTCTCCACAGCCTCTCCCAGGAGGCCCTGCCTCCTGAGTTTCCTATTTTGGACACCTGAAAACCTGAACTGATTTTACCGCTTTCCCCCGCTCCGTCTCCCCGCCTTTGCCAACTGTTTTCACCTGGTGGCTGTATCAGGGGCGGCATGGGTAGGCAATAATTTCATCATCCCCGTCCTTCTCCACTTCACTCAGCTGTGTGCTGAGTGGCTTCAGCCATGTCCGACTCTGTGCGATCCCATGGACTGTAGCTCACTAGGCTCCTCTGTCCGTGGGAGTCTCCAGGCAAAGATAACTAGAGTGGGTTGCCATTTCCTTCTCCGGTGATCTTCCCAACCAAGGGATTGAACTTGTGGCTCTTGTGCCTCCAGCACTGGCAGGTTTTTTTTAACCATTCGCGCCACCTGGGAAACCCACTTCACTCAGCATCACGTGCCTTTTTTTTAATAGACAAGGAAGACCGTGCTGTAAAAGGCCAAAATGAGCGCCTTAGACACGCTACGCCAAGCCTGGAGAAGGAGAAGGGAGCGACTTGAACCCTCAAGCTTCTGGCACCTTGCATGAGGTCGGCTGGTTTGTCCATGTCTCCCTCTCGCTCTGCCCCAGCAGATAATTGGGGACTTTTCGGTTCAGGAGTTCTTGGCAGGGAAGGAGGCTTCTCCTTGTCCCTGATGGGGCGTTTCAATTCACTCAGGCACAGACAGGCGGAGGGGCTTTGCTCCACCAAACACCTCCCTGTAGCCTTCTGAGCCATCTCAGGCTGCAGGCCGGTGGCAGCCCCTCTTACCGGCCCCAGCTCATGATTTAAGCATGGTTCAACCCCTGCGTACTCCTGTGTGACCCACAGCAGTGAACAGACATCCTTTTTCCGTATGTACACACATCCTATTGGTTCTGTTTCTCTGGAGAACCCTGACTAATATTACAGGCTGCCTCCCACCATGACTGTGGAACTCCTTTCTTTCTAATAAGAGCTCCCTTTGGGAGAGCTCAATAAGAAAAAAGAAAAACCCTCATTAGGACTGTCCACGGGAGCAATGACTGCGTGAACCCTAATTACTGCACCCAAATTATTCTTTTCTGGTTGCAAAGGAAGGAGTCTCTAAGGTCCTTATTAAAACGTAGGACACATCTAAAGAATGGTAAATTGAAAAGGCTTGAGTCTTTTTTTTTTTCTTTTGCATTGACAGGAAAATATAAGGTCCTAAGGGCTTCTGAACCCCAAGCAGGTCAGCCCAGAATGGCTTCAGCCAACATGCCCCATGGAAGGGAAGACATGGTAAGTAGTGACTCATGTTTATAGAGCACTTTATGCTGTAGTAAGTGCTTTCATATTTGTTAATGTCTTTGATCTTCATCACCACCTCCTTTAGGTTAAGTATTAGCTCACATCTTTGGACAAGGACAAATCAGAAGGTGAGAGGGAAGGCAGGAAAAGCATTTGAAAAGAACAGGAAGGAGGACCTGGTTGTTGGTTCATTCATGCACTCATTGCACAAATATTTATTGGTTACCACAGTGTGTCGCTGGGGAGACAACAGTTAATGAGGGCAGTCATGGTCTTAAGTCCTTTACGAGCTTAGAGTCTAGCAAACATTGCTTCACTACCTGCCCCTGGCAAAGTACTATTGGTGAAGTCCAAGTGTGCATCAGTCTAGCTTAATGGAAGGTTTTCCAGGTCTGAAACGTACCCTCTGGTGAACTTCCTTTTCCCCTCTAGCATACCTCTGTCACAGTGATGGTCACTCTCTCTTCTGTTGTGGTTAGCTCTTTTATTATCTTTCTCCCCAAGAGCAGGACCATTCTCCACCCAGCCCAGCACAGTGTCTAGCCCGCAGTTCCTAAGGCATGTTTATCCACTGATGACCTATTGTGAGCCATGCTTGGCAGCAGTATCTGAGGCTGCAGGAAAGGAAGAGACCCAAGTCCTTTCCTCTAGAGATCTGGAGTCTAATGGGAAGAATGGCAGATAGAGAAGCAATTACATTGCTGTGATAAGTTTTGCAGGGAGTGAATAGATGCTTAAGCAGCACAGAGGTCTCCTTGGAATGATCAGAAAGAGTGAGCAGAAAGTTTCCAGGAGCATGGAGGGGAAGGCAGAAGGGCATTTGGCACAGAGTAAGTAATGTGAGCACAGGGCCACGAGGAAAGAGACTGCCAGGAGCTGGGCTTGGCTGCAGGGTCAGGAGGCTTCTGGTCAGTTGGAGGAAGGTAAGGCTGGACGCCCTGTCAAAGGCCACAGGCTGACAAGCTCAGGGACAGATGGTGGGCAGGTGCCCTTGGCACTGGTGGACAGTATGGAAGCATTTTTGCCCTTTAACCGTCATGGTAGAAAAAAAAGTCCCTCAGATATAAAATCACAAAATGTGTTGGAAGCAAACTCAGAAATTATTTAGCCCCATTGTCACTGGATGCAGAGGTAATTTACCCAAAGCCACAGAGCTTATGGTAGAGACAGGACACAAGAAATCTCCTGGTGTTTTTCACTAACATCCCACATCCTCAGGCAACAGCTGCAAGAATCTTTGTATCATTTATAGAAAACTCTCAGGAACTTTCTGGTTTGTCAACAACTTAGTCTGAAATAATTCAGGAAAAAACAATTTTTTTTTTTGTCCTGTACTTGCAAGTCTTCTGGAACTTTGAGATTGTTTTTTCTTAAAAATCCCAACAGAATGGTTAACATATTAGTTTGCTAGGGCTGCAATAACAAAATACCACAGGCTTAAACAACTTTCTCTCCTGGAGGCTGGAAGACCAGTACTGAAGTGCTGGCAGGGTAAGTTTTCTCTGAAGGCCTCTCCCCTTGGCTTGTTGACGGCCACCCTCTTGCTGTGTCCTCACGTGGTCTTTTCTCCATGCACACACCCCTCTGGTATTTCTTTGTATGTTTAAATTTCCTCTTCTTTTAAGGACAACAGTCAGATTGGATTAGGCCCATCCCTAGTAGCCTCATTTTAATTTAGTCACCTCTATGAAAGCCCTGGTCCAAATGCAGTCATATTTTGAGGTACTGGGGTTAGGATTTCAACATACAAACTTGGGGAAGGGAGACAGAATCCACTCCATAATAGTTAATTTCTTCACTTTCCTAACTCCTGTCTTGCGAGTGCTTGCTCACATTCACTCCCTCTCTTTCGAGTCTATACCCTCCATTTTCTGGGAATTGGCAGTGAATCTCTAGAAGGCTCATTCTATGTCTTCAGCACCCAGGAGACGAGTACTTAGTGACTGAAAATCACACATCATTGTTTTGTCTGTTCTATGTCTTCACTACTGGGCAGTGTCTCTGATGGGCTTTGCAGTGACTGTTTCCTAGTATCTAGAACAGAGCCTTGCACAAAATAGGCATATTTTCAGTGGTTAAATGCGTTCAGTAGTCACATATCACATAGCAGTTAATTTGAAATTTTTAAAGAAAAGCAGAACAGCAAAAAACTGAATAACATTTATTCTTTTAAATTAGTTAGACATTTATATTCTATACATAAGAAATATGAACCAATAGAATGAAGTTCCAGAGTATAGTTTTTACATGTGCTTGCAATGTGATAAGTCCATGTTCCCTGAAGAATCATAAAAATTCACTAATCGTCCAATACTTAATGTATGAGAGAACTACTTAAGTCATGGGGGAATGTTGCTTGATGGGGCACAATCAACTTTTTTATCTCTTATATTTGTTTCATATTTGTGATTGTAAATGCATGTGCAGCCACGTGAAATCAGTGTTAATATCTGGTTTCTATGCTGCTGCTAAGTCATTTCAGTCGTGTCTGACTCTATGTGACCCCATAGACGGCAGCCCACCAGGCTCTGCCATCCCTGGGATTCTGCAGGCAAGAACACTGGAGTGGGTTGCCATTTCCTTTTCCAGTGCATGAAAGTGAAAAGTGAAAGTGAAGTCGCTCAGTCATGTCTGACTCTTCGCAACCCCATGGACTGACTGCAGCCCACCAGGCTCCTCCGTCCATGGGATTTTCCAGGCAAGAGTACTGGAGTGGGGTGCCATTGCCTTCTCCGCTGGTTTCTATAGGAGGTTCTCAAAAGGTAGGAAGCCTGTCTTACTAGGATCTTGCAAAACTCAGCACATTGCTGTGTGCAGAGGATTCACATCATGAAATACCTCAGAGAGTAGTCTGTGGATGATGCTTGTTATTTTTACAGGTTTTGCTTAGTAACCCAGTCAGACTTTCTTGTGCTCTGTTATTCCAATGACACTGGTTTATCAAATGTTAGGAATAAAATGCCTACAGTAGAACTAAAACAACCAGAGAGGTTAATGAAAGAGAGGAGAGGAGGGGAAAAGAATAGGAAGGGTGAGTAATTCCCGTCCTCTCATTGTGGGTCATGTTTCTTAACTCAGCCAGGAGGAAATCACAATTCATGCAAAAATAATTCTGTCTTTATTATTCCATGTCCATGGTGATTTGAGCCCTCCTTTTCTGAAGGGAAAAGAAAAGCATGTGTCTTAACAATACATTCCTCTTGTTCCCACTGAAATGTTACGTTAGTGACTGCATTTGATGGCAATATAACCTGGCTCAGACCCCCTGCTGGGCCCTTACAGATCATTGTTATGCAGACTCCTTTAGGGGCTGTAATTTGGGATTCAATTTGCCATAAAATTGTCCTGAGTGTCACCTTGGTAATCGAAGATCATGTGACCCGTGAAACACATTGAACTGAAAGATGGCACCTCTTGAAAATTAATGTCAAATTGTTTCCAGTAGTAAAAACCCCTTAGCCATTTTATGTGAAATGAATGTCGCTATATCTCAGAGCTGGTAAGGGGTTAAGAGGAGGATGCTCCACCCACATCCCTTGACCTGGGCCTGCAGGGTCTCAGAGCAGAGCCTTCACCATAAATACCTCAAGGCTCAGCACACAGACTGGTCAACCCAGCAGCCCCTCTGGGTTTGATCGTCCTTATCTTCTTTTTAACCAAAAATCTGCATGTGGTTTAGTAAAGGGTTTTTATTCTGATTGTACATATAAAGGCAGTTTAAATGTAAAGTCTGGGCAAACAAAAGTCATAAATGGACATTGGATATTGTCAGAAGCTTTTTCTGCATCTGCTGAGATGTTCATGTGGTTTTTTTCTTGTTTGTTTATATGGTACATCACATTGATTGATTTGTGAAGAATCCTTGTATCCCTGGGATAAATCCCACTTGATCATGGTGTTCAGTTCAGTTGCTCAGTCACGTCCCAACTCTTTGTGACCCCATGGACTGCAGCAGGCCAGGCTTCCCTGTCCATCACCAACTGCCGGAGCTTGCTGAAACTCATGTCCATTGAGTTGGTGATACCATCTAACCCTCTCATCCTCTGTCAACCCCTTATCCGCCTGCCTTCAATCTTTCCCGGAATCAGGGTCTTTTCCAATGAGTCAGTTCTTCCTATCAGGTGGCCAGAATATTGGAGTTTCAGCTTCAGCATCAGTCCTTCCAATGAATATTCAGTACTGATTTCCTTTAGGATTGACTAGTTGGATCCCCATGCAGTCCAAGGGACTCTCAAGAGTCCTCTCCAACACCACAGTTCAAAAGCATCAATTCTTTGATGAAAACGCTCAGCTTTGTTTGTAGTCCAACTCTCTCATCCATACATGCCTACTGGAAAAACCATAGCTTTGACTAGAGGAGCCTTTGTCAGCAACTTAATGTCTCTGCTTTTTAATATGCTGTCTAGGTTGGTCATAGCTTTTCTTCCAGTGGAGCAAGCGTCTTTTAATTTCATGGCTGCTGTCACCATCTGCCTTGATTTTGGAGCCCCCAAAAATAAAGTCTGTCACGGTTTCCATTGTTTCCCTATTTGCCATGAAGTGATGGGACCAGATGCCATGATCTTAGTTTTCTAAATGTTAAGTAAAACTCAAAAAAAAAAAAGCCAACTTTTTCACTCTCCTCTTTCACTTTCATCAAGAGGCTCTTTAGTTCTTCTTTGCTTTCTGCCATAAGGGTGGTGTCATCTGCATATTTGAGGTTATTGATATTTCTCCTGGCAATCTTGATTCCAGCTTGTGCTTCTTTCAGCCCTGCATTTCTCATGATGGACTCTGTATGTAAGTTAAATAAGCAGGGTGACAATATACAGCCTCGATGTACTCCTTTCCCTATTTGGAACCAGTCTGTTGTTCCATGTCCATTTCTAACTGTTGCTTCCTGACTGGCATACAGATTTCTCAGGAGGCAGGTCAGGTGGTCTGGTATTCCCATCTCTTGAAGAGTTTTCCACAGTTTGTTGTGATCCACACAGTCAAAGGTTTTGATATAT